TACATTATTTTGACAGCAAATAACTAGGAAGTTCAATTTGACTGTCTATTGATACTGTTCTGTGATTAGCTGTCGAAGTACTGAACAGTCGTTGCACTAAGCTGTCACTATCGTCGAAATTAACGTCGCTGAGATAAACATTCATAATTCTTATTTAAAATTAAAGTTGACTGTCGTTATTCTGGACCCCTCCCCTACTTTCTAGATCATCGTAAAGTACTCGAAGGCTTTTCGATGGTCAAGAACTACTGAGAGATTCTTATGATCATCAGGAACTGCTCGTAAGATTTTTCAAGGATCGAAAAAGCTCAGAGGCTTTCTTGGTGGTTGAAGAATGCTTGGAGACTTTGCTGATGGACCGTAAATGCTCCAAGTCTCATCTGATTGTCAAGAAAAGCTCGGAAGCTTGTCCGATCGTTAATACTTTCTCGGAGGGATTCTTGATAGTCGAGAATTGCTCTGTGGCATTCTCAATGGTCGGAAAATGCTCAAAGGCTTTTTTAATGGGCCACAAATGGTCGTAAGCTCTCTCGAGGATCGAAAACAGTTCAGAGTACTTCAGAGACTGTTTCGATAGTTGAGAAATCCTGTAAGGCATTATCGATTGTAGACGTATGCCCGAAAGCTTTTCCAATTATTCCTAAAAAATTGCTCGCAGGATTCCATGATCGTCAAAAACTGTTTAGTCTTTCTCTACTGTTAGAAATTTTTTGGAGACATTCTTGAATAAAAAAAGAAACTACTTGAATCCATAAATATTCGAAATATTTTATTTCATCTGAATTTTTTAAAGAACATTCTTGAAACTATACAATTTGATATGGGCTCTTATAAGTGATAGAATTTGGTAGGGTTCAATTGTCAAATTCTGTAGGACGAAAATGTGTATGAAGTAAATGAAAAATTCTTTCTAATAGCTTAAATTTTGAAGGAAAATATTCGTATGAAAAAATGTACTTATCTTTATGTACTTGGAAAAAATATTGACGCAAACGGTAACAAATAATACATCCTTGCATTTCAAGTAGTACACGGAAGATAAGCTATTTTACGAAACAGCTTTTAGAACTAATTATACTAAGAATCATGGACTAAAACTCAGCGCAGTCTTTCGTAACATTTTGAACTTTAATACAGTGTAATTTTGAAATATAGGTCTAATCGTACTGCACTTACTTACTATTTTATCTACGTACTTAAATTAAATGTCCCTATTCTTAGAACATGAGAATTCATATTATTGTCACTCAATTCAGTTTATAAAAAGATTGCGATAGTTGTATATTTTATTTATCTTTATAAATTCGTAAGAAAAGTTTTATTGTATAAAACAAAATGACCAATTTTAAAGATGATTCTCATTGTTGAGACAAAATCGAACAAAACCTATCTTTTAAGTTGTACGTATTACGGTACTATACTTAGATGAGTAATTAATATAATACTAATGAACTAATGAATTTTAAAATTATTTCGGTGAAATACAATGGTATTATATAGATAAAAAAACTTAATTGTACTAAAATATTCTGATAAAGTTATGATTTTAAAAATTTTTGTGAAAGGAGTATTGTTATGAATAATTGATAACTAAACTAAATTAATTGATAATCAGTAAGTGAATATTTTTATTAAAAATAAGTTACGAATTACACTATAAGAAGAAACCTACTTTTTCATATCGGGATCGCTGGTAGCTGAGTGGGTAAGGTACTCGGCTCGTTTGCGGAAGGTCGATGGTTCAAATCTCGAGATGTGTTTTTAAATTTGAGGTAAAGTACCCAGTAGTTGGACAAAAATAAAAATAGCACCAGTAGTTAGACAGTCTAATATAATTAACATTTTCGAATAAAAGACGTTTTCAAATAGGAAAAATAAATTTGTTTGTATCCATCAATGCATAATCATGCCTGATAAAAAAATTATCTTTAAAACTCTTTTTCGTTTTTAAGTGATGGAATATGTTTTAACTGCTAAACATGTAAGCTTGCTGTCTAACAATAGATCCCTTTTATAAAATAGGAGTGTTCCTATACTCAGTACTTGGACACGGAAAAAATCGCTAAAAATTATAATTTATAATTGGGCATAGAACGTTCAAGTTATTTTCTAACTAAAGTTATGTTGCAAAATGAATATTATTACAATTTTTATTGATGTTTATCAGAGTTAAACACATCAAAAAATATAAATAATCTGTCCAAGAATAGCTTCCATTCGATAACACAAGATTTTTCCTATTCCTGGTACTTGGACAGTAAAAAACACTTAAATTTATTGATTATTATTAAATGTAACATGTTAATGTTACTGTTGAAAACTAAAATAAAGTTAAATATTATAATTTATGGTTGGGCATAGAACGTTCAAGTTATTTTCTAACTAAAGTTACATTGCAAAATGGATATTATTATAATTTTTATTGATGTTTATCAGAGTTAAACACATCGAAAAATATAAATAAT